GAAAATGACTAAGACAAAGTTTGGTATTGAGCATAGTGTCACTGCTATGATGCTCCCTGACCGTGAGATCTAGAAAACTTTGAAATTGGTTTGCTAGGTGAGTTTGGTAAGGTTTGGCAGTGCCAGTTGGGGATGCAGTCCTGGAATGCTGTGAGCTGAGCTTGATGGGACATTCTAGTTTAACCTTAGAAGAACAAAATGTTGACTGTAATGAAGTTGGAAAAGATCAGGCTCAGACATTTCAACTACAAAGAGGAACTCCATTGGGAGTTGGACTCCAGACTTATGTGTTACACTCTGGCAGAAATTTAGCCTTCATTTTGTTCCCATACAGAGACTTTGTAAAAGATTTAGATTAAGTGAGGTAAACTAATTAATCTGCTGAAAGAAATTTCAAAGCAGTCTATTGCTGATGTGTTGGCATGGCAACTTTTAGACAGATTATCGTTGTGAATCAAGAAAAGCAAAGGAATGATTTTAAAAGTTTGAGTTAGGCTTTAAAGAAATCTCCAGTAATGTTGCAGCAAGCAAAAATGGAACAGAGGAGAACTTGGTTGATGAAAATCCATGCACTTTAGAAGAGGACAATAGAAAAGATGGCCTGAGAGCATCACAGACACCAGCAGGACTCCACTCTTTGCAGCCTACAATTGCAAAGGTGGAAGATTTTCCCTTGAGAAGAGAGCCCCAGAGCACTGTGCTCTACAATGATAGTAACCTAGGGAACATTTTCCTCAGATTTGGGTTAATAACACTTAAAAATCCAGGTACTTGACCTCTACAGCCAAGAGAAAAGGAAGCCCAGCTACTTCTCAGTTGGCAGCAGACCTTGACACCATCCACATGGTGCTGGTTTTTGTACACATGCAGAATGTAAGAGTTGTGGGGCAAGAAAGCTTACTGCTGGATTTCAGAAGAAAGCCTGAGAGATCAGGCAGCACATCCTTGAGAGGCAGCATGTTAAGCTGTAAGTGGGAAGCTAAAAGTGCAGTGGAAATCCTGGAATGTTGGAGAATCCATGAGCACGGAGCATCTAAGGAAAGGCAACCCAAGAGAGCAGGTGTGAGATCCATAGCCACTGGCCATGCTATAGGGGCAGAGCCGCACAAACACTGCAGAGTCTGCTTCTTGCTGCAGATTGTATCAGATGCCAAACATGGAAATGTTTTCCCTGATGGATTTTGATCTTCTCTTGGTCCCATTACTTTTGATCCCCCTATAAGGAATGGGAATATTTATCTTATACCATTGTATGTTGGGCATATTTTGTTTTATGTTCATCTTTACAGGGGCTCACATCAAAGAGTTTGCCTTAAATCTCATGGGAAGCCTTGGACATTTCAACAATACTGAAACTGTTAGGATTTTAGCAACTCTTAAAGATGGATTAAATATGTTTTGCATGAGAGGGTTGCACACGAGTCTTCTGGGGGCTAGAGTGAAATGCTACAGTTTGCCTGCAGATGTCCCCTCAAAGCCTCATGTGTCTACAGGGGGACTTCTTCAGTGGTGGCTGGATCTAGGGTGCTTCAAGAGTGTGTATAAACTAGTCCACTGATTGGTTTAGCATGGTTCTGGGTGTGGAGAAGAGCAAAGCCCACTCTCGGTGTGGGTGGCACTGCTCAACAGGCTTGGAGCCTGGGTGAGATAAAAGGAAAAGGAAAGTCAGCTGCTTGGTGCTGCTTCTGCTGCTGCTGCTGCTGCTGCTGCTGTGGCTGCTTCACTACTTCTGGCCCCACCATTTCACAGACTGTTTTTCCTCTGCCATGCTATCCTGCCATGTAGTCAGTTGGCTATAGACTGAAAGCCCTACAA